TTCCATACTTAGGTTCTGTTCTAAGGAATTACAAGCCATTTTCTAAGAAATTTCAATGATTACACCAGCTGGCTGGGCATCCTTTTTGTGCTAGGCCATCAATATCTAGATCAGAGGCATGGGCTCCAAATTGACAATTTGCTGAGCCCAGAACCAAATAGGAGGAGGAACTAGAAGCGATGAAGTGTCAAGTAAAGATTCTTGGAGTCAAGGAAGCCTTGGCTCCTATGTGACTTGAGGCAAATCTCTTAACTTCTCTGGGCCCAAGTTTCCTTGTGGGTTGGATTATATAAGGTCTCTTTCAGCTCTAGTGATTCATAGGGGCTTGAGATTAGGCTGGACCCCATTTAGGAAGCCACAAAGCAGTTTCAATGACCCCAAGCTTCTTGCAACAACCCATCTTGTGAACACCACTCTTCTTCCAGAGTGCCATATGTCTGAGAAGTTTGGAATTACCACTGCCTGGTAAACAGCCTCTTCCCACTGATGACTTGCACATGAGAAAGAACATAAACTACTTCATTAAGGCCTGAAGAAGGAGTTGGGGCTGCTGGGCAGTGAGAGTGAAGAATAACAGATGGACAGCACCAGGATGGACGTGATATTCCAGAGACCAGAAACGGCTCCACCACATGGAGTCAGTGTTTATAAAGGATCTCTGAAAGAACCAGATTTGACCAGGGAATGGATTCTGATCTCCTCCACTGAAGGGGCTTGGAGGGGGGAGCACTGCCAAGACCCCATAGCCTGGGAGCTTCATGGGAAATGACTACAATACTATGTCCATGAAAAAGACCGTAGAGAAGAGAAGGCCAGTGACTTTTGTTTGCTGTGGACTACTGTCATTGAGCTTGCTTCCTTAACTTGTTTTATGTGGTAAGATGCGCATGTAACAAGTCAGCATCCATGGTGGTCCCCACCTGCCCCAGACCAACCCAGATTTGTCACCCAGAGCTGACATTGGTAAGAGAAGTCGGGAGAAGAGTAAACTTGTTTAAAAAATCACCCTCTCCCTTTAGATCCAGAGACTTGTCTCTTCTCCCAACCCCAGGCTGAAAGGGCTAACATGAGGGTCTGGTGCCAGAGGTCTTGAGACAGGCATGGCTGTTCACAGGTTAAAGCTATAGAACCATGGTGCCACATTAGGGAATTCCATCATCACGGTTGTCAATTAATGATCCCTCTGCAAGACAAGTCAAGGACCTCAGGAATACAAAGGCCTCACTTATACCAGGAGATTTGTAGCAATACTTTATACATTGGCAAAGAACTGGAAACAAAGTAGCTGCCCATCAATTGAGGAATGCCTAAACAAATCATTGTTTGTGAATGTAACTGAATGCTACTACAACATAAGAGGTAATGAACATGAAAAATACAGAGAGGAATGGGAAGACGTATAAACTGATGCAGAGTGAGGGAGGCAGCATGAAAGGTTACTGATTCTAGGTTCAAATTCCACCATTGACACTTAGCTGTGTGACCCTGGGCCAGTCACCTAACCTTATTTGGCCTCACTTTCCTCATCTGCATGGTAGGGTTGGCCTCAATGGTTTCCGAGGTCTCCTCCAGCTCTAGATCTGTGATCCTAAGCAGAACCAAGAAAGCAACATGCCCAATGGTTATAGTTGAGTAAGTGAAAAAATAAAACAACAAAAGAAACTGAACACTAATGATAATCAACAAGCTTGGTCTCAAAGAGGAGATGAGACAATTTACCTCCCTCCCTTCATTGAAGAGGTGAAGGAAAGAGTGTGAAAATTGCAGCTGCTGGCAAACTCAGTGGATGTGTTGAATTAAACTGGGTTTTTTCCCATCTTTCTTTTTTATCCTTTGTTACAAGGGATGGATCTCTGGGTAGGGGAAAAGAGAAAAATACCTTTGGAAATGAAGATGATATAAAAAATAACACCCCACCTGCTGAAAATCTCACAGACAAATGTTGTAAACTGGGACAGCTGAGTATCTTAGGAATTGCCATCACCACCACCCCCCTAGCCTTAGTTAAAGAGAGCCTCAAGATCTGTTCCCCAGTCCCTAAATCCCATGCAATGTTTCCTTCCTCTTCTCCCAGGCTAAGGCTAACTACAATTTCCAAGATGCTCAGCTGTCCCAGTTCCCAACATTTGTACTTGAAATTTTCAGCAAGTGGAGTCTTACAAATATTAATACATCTTCCCCTGAAATCATTGATACTTTTTTTTCTTCCACTGAAGTCCTCCAAATGCCTCTTGGTGGTGTGAGGATGACTCCAAGCTCTCAGAGGTGTAAGGATCTTATGTGCTCTACCAAGTCAGAAAGCCTTCATCACAATGACAGACTGTGTGTGTTATCTGAGGACCTGCTGGGAGAAGGTGTAGGAGCTCATCAGTTGGTAGCAGCCAACGAGCAATTTTTTTTTCAGCTACAATTCTCAAAGACCATGTACTAAGTTATGGTAGGACTGCACTATCCATTATTTCATTCATTCGTTCGTTCGTCATTCATTCATTCATTCACTCATTCATCCGTTCAACAGCCCATGCCAGTGAAGTTACAGAGCATTGAACTATAACAATACGATGAGTTCTTACATGACTGCTTCAAGGATCCAAGGTATGGTCAGCATGGCAGCTTCCTCAGCCGTTGCAAAATGCCACCCTCTCCCCACTTTAGTTGGTCTTCATGACCTTCTGGGGCTGAAAAAAAAGATGCATTCCATGGTATTCAAGTTTCTGATAATGAGGCTCCATTATTCTAATCCAATTCATTCTCAGTGTTTTTCCAGAGTGTTAGGAATGCCTGTGGGGCAGAATCAGGTAGTGCATAATGAGCTGGCCTCAAAGCCAGGAAGATCTGGGTTCAAGTCCTGCCTCTGTGGGCACATCCTGGCTGTGTGACCTCAAGCCAGTCACTTACCTCTTCTCCATTTTAGGCAACACTGTAAGGCTCTGAGTTGTAGAGAAGATGCTGGCCTGCATTGGAAGAGGGTGTTTCCCCGCTTGGAAGTTCCTTATGCCAATCAAGTCACAAGCCCAGTTGCTATCCTGGAGACTTCCAGAGCCTCTGAGAACCTAGGGTCGCTTTCTCTGCCAAGACCTTTTTGAGGATTATATGAATATGTAATTACAGTGATAGATAATAATAGCTAGTATTTATATTGCTCTTCTAAGGATGCAAAACCCTTTACATGTTCAATCTCATTTGATCTTCTTAATAACCCTGTGAAGTAGGTGCTATGATTATCCCCATTTTATAAATGGCAAAACTAAGGCCAAGAGATTTACCCAAGCCATGCAGTAAGTGTCTGAGGGAAGATCTGAACTCAGGGCCTCCTGTATTCATTATACCACTTAACTGCCTCTAGATAGAGCTTTTGTTATTGTTCAGTGTTTAACTCTTTGTTGACCCCCTTTGGGGTTTTCTTGGCAAAGATACTGGAGGGGTTTTCCATTTCCTTCTCCAGCTCATTTTATTGATGAGGAAACTGAGGCAAACAGAGTTAAGTGACTTGCTCAGGGTCACATGACTAGTAAATGTCTAAGGCTAGATTTGAACTCAGGAAAATGAGTCTTCCTGATTCCAGGACTGGAGCTCTAGCCAGGGAGCCACCTAGCTGCCCTAGAGAGACCTAGCAATGCAGTGTGTACTAATGTGATGGCTGGGATTCTAGTGCCTTGAATTTGTATAATGGTAAAGGGTTTGGTGGTACTTCTGCATGTTTGCTCTTCAGACCCTCAAAGTGCCTCTTTTGTGAAGGTGGGACATTCTCCCCACTTCCAGATGAGGAAGCAGGCTCAGGATGGCTAAGTGACTTTCACCCTGTACTTATGTGGGGTTGGAGGCAGATCTCAAATGTTGAGTTGTCCACTTTGCTATTATCTTATCCCTTCTACTCACAGCATAGACCCACTGAATACTAAAGTTAGCACCCTGTGCCCCCAGTTCAATATTGGCCCGTCTCACTGAGCCCTCCTGCTCAGCCTATGTGTTACCCCAGGATGCAGACTGTGAGATACCAGCTCAAAAGAGTTGGGAAATATCTTAGAGAAATCTTCTGATTCAACCCTCTCATTTCACAAAGAAGGAATCTGAGAGAGAGGAAGTGACTTGCCCATGGTCAGTCACACAGCTGGCCAGGGCTCATACTTAGTTCTCCTGATTCCCCATCAAGTCCTTTTTCCTTCCTACTATTTTGTCTTTCATAAGGGCATCTTGAGTGCTAGGATACCCCCTTGAACCTATCATCATCTCCTTCCCCCCAAAAAAATTTAAAATGGAGACACTTGCCAACCGAGGGCAGGACCATGGGCACATGTGTGAGGCATGCTGGGTATGCCCTGACACATCATAGTATTTCAAAACAAATATGATCTCTTCTGCCTCATTTTTAAAAATTGTATTTTTAAAATAAAATTGCTAATTTAAAAATTAAGGTTAGTTAAATTTTCATTTATTCTAATGAATAAAACTAACAGCAATTATGATAGAGTATTTAATAAACGTTTGCATTTTTAAAACATTCTTAGTTACATTACTAATGAAACATGCTGTGCATGCCTTTGGATAGGACTATGTCTTATCTGAACTTTCTATCAATCTCAATGCCCTGCAAACAGCCGGAGCTTAATAAATGTTTGTTGAATGAATTTCAGATGAATTCCTCCAGCTTTTCTCTCTCTGTGCCTGCCCTTCAGGCTCACTAATTTTACCTTCCCTTTCCATCATTCAAAGAGAATGTGTGGTCCAGAAAACAGCAAGGGGGAGAGTCAATGAACCTGGGTTCAAATCCTGGCACCATCACCTCCTGGTGTGTGACTTTAGGCTTGTCACTTTCCTTTTCTGGGTCTGTTTCCACAACTATACAATGAGAGGATTCAGCTGGATGATCACCAAGGTCTTCCCACTCTAGAACCCCAAGTTATTGTTGTAAGAAAAGGGGGCCTGGGGCCCCTGGGCGGGTAGGAGTTATCATCTCCCAGGCTTGCTTACTTTTCACTCTTTCTTTTTCTCCTTTTCAGGGTCAGCCTGGCACAAGAGGCTTTCCTGGATTTCCGGTGAGTGGGGATGGTTTCTGTAAATGCCCTTGCCCATCCATTTCAGCTGGGCCTCATTGCACTGAGTCGTCCCTTACATGGGCATTCCCCTCTGAAGCAACAGTGGCTCTTTCGTGGAGTGCTCTACTCCTCAGCCCTTCCGAAAATGAAGCCAGACTTGGGATAGCTCAGAGCTGGGACTGCTTCTAGTTGTTAGAGAGAGAGAGAAAAGGGAAAGAGAAAGCAAGCAGCAAAACCCAGCAACCTCTCTGCTTCTACTGAAGAGGCTGACCACCCCCAGCCTGGCCTGACACTGTCATTTTCATTATTGTTCAGTCATTTCAGGAGGGTCTGACTCGACGTGACCCCCATTTTAGGGTTTTCTTGGCAAAGATACTGGAGTGGTTTGCCATTTGCTTCTCCAGCTCATTTTACAGATGAGGCAAACAGTGACTTGCCCAGGGTCACACAGCTAGTAAAGTGTCTTGAGGCTGGACTTGAACTCAGGAAGAGTCTTCCTTACTTCAGGCCCATCATTCTATCCACTGCAGCACCACCTAGCTGCCCATGACAGTGTACTAAGGGACTCAGGAAGACTCACCCTGGAGGGAAGGGGCCCCTGACCTGGCTTGGACACAGAGAACAGAGATAATATTAGCTAACATTTACATGGAATTTTAAGGTTTACAAAGCCCTTCACATTTATTACCCCATTTGATCCTCATCACAGCTCTGAGTGCTGCTATTACTCTCAATTTACCAGTAAGGAAACTGAGGTGGACAGAGGTTAAGTGACTTGCCCAGGGTCACGCAGCTATCAAGTGTCTGAGGCTTGATTTGAACTCAGCTCTTCCTGACTGTAGGCCCAGCACTCTAGCCAGCTATGAGATCCAAGGAATGGGGAAGATGTCTGGCAGGCCTGGATCTGAATCCTCCCTCTGCCACTTGCTAGCCTTATGACCCTGGACAGGTCACTTAACCTCTGCTGCCTCAGTTTCTTCCCCTGAAAAATGAGAGGTTTGGACCTTCAAGGTCTCTTCCAGCTCTGTCTCTATGATCCTGAGGTCCTTTAACTTTGAACAAGTTTCAGGGCTGCCCTAGTTCTCAGCGTCCTCACATGTAAAGTGGAAGGGGCCGGGGGTTTGCACTGGTCTCCGAGGCCTTCTACCTTGAGCTTTGTTATGATTCTGGCTGCTTTATAGCTTTGGCAGGTAGAAAATGGGCCCAAGAGCCAAGTGTCAAGAACAGGGACATTAAAAACCACTAACCTCAAGTCCTGCCTATGAAAGGAGGGGCCTAGAGAATGAGGACACCCATAGTCCCACTAGCCATGAGAAGCAAGGGGCCACAGCAGAAGGACAGCTGAAATAGTGAGGCTCCAGATGGGGAGGAAAGGTGCTGGGAATTTTTTATAGACCTCGAAGGGACCATAGAGGTCATCTAAAGCAACCTCTTCATTTTACAAACCAGGAAACTGAGGCATAAGGAAGTCAGTGACTTGCCTGCCTTTACTCACAAGTGCCAGGGGCAGGCTTCAAACCCAGGTCTTCCTCACTCCAAGTCCAGTGCTCTATGCACTGTGCCATTTTTGAATGGTGGAGTCTCTGTTTGGGGACTCAGGGTTCCCCTCTGATGCACAATTTCCCAAGAAATTACTCTTCCTTATTGTCCCTCTTTGCAAGGGCTGAGTGGGCCAGGCAAGGTTCCCTGGGAAAGCTAAGGTGCTGATGTTTAAGGACACATACAGCCCATAACCAACCCTTTGCTGTCTTTCTCTGTTTCAGGGCCCCATCGGCTTAGATGGCAAACCGGTAGGTGGCTACTTTCTCCTTGGGCTTTTCACCTTTCTCCCTGATACCAGGTCACTCTGTTGGCTTCCCTCTGAGGGTCTCTAGAAAAAAATTAAAGGAAAAGTGTGGTTCTCCTTAAGGACCTAGGAAAGCAACTCTATCCTTGGAAGGGGGAAAGGAAGGGAGTTCCAGGGCTGTATAACATTTGGGAGATGACCCCAGTAGCCAAAGTCATCTCAAGAGCAGATTCACAAGCATATATCCGAAGGCACAGTGCCTGAAGCCAGAGATTTGCCAAAGGGGACAGTGGAAGGAGGGGGAGAAAGAGGGAAACATGTCAAGACTGGGCCGGGCATGAACTCAGGAAGGAGGAGAGAAGGAATTGCCCAGCTGAGGCTAGAAAAAACAGGGAGCTCATTCACGTACATTTAGCCCATGATCTTCTCCCCACCGACCCCATCACCCTCTTCACTTCTCCTGCAGCCCTAGAGCTCTATGTTGCCCCTTTTGGCATTTCTTTCCCTTCATTAAGAATAATTCACATTCCTGGAGCATTTTAAGGTTTCCAAAGCACTCTTGCCTCAAAACCCAGTGACATAGGTAGTTCGGGTATTACTGTCCCCATTTTATAGATAAGGAAAATGAGGCCCAAGTTGGGGAAGGGGCTGGCCCAAAGTTACCCAGCTAGGATTCAAAATTCGATCTCCAGATTCTGCCTGGAATATTAGAAAGTACCCTCAACTTGGAATTAGAAGACCTAGTTTCAGATCTCGGCTCTAACTCTTGCAGTTTTAAAGCAAACATTTTTTAAGCACCAACTGTGTACCAGACACTATGCTAGGCACCAGAGATACAAAGAATAGTCCTGGCCCTCAAGGAGTTTCCAGTCCATCAGAGGAAACAATATGTACATATTTAGGAATAGGGATAGTGACCAGACCTGTGACTTCATTGGGATAGGGAACTCCCTAGTGAGGAAACTCCTTCTACTGAGGCAGGTTGGAACCTTCTCTATAGCGGGCCGCATATAAGGGGGATACAAGAGATATACAAAGTAAATACAAGGTAACTGCCCTGGGGGAAGCACTATTACTGGGTGTATCAAGAAGAACCTCGTGTGGGAGGTGTACTTCCACTGAGTTTAGAAAGACAGTGAGGATTCCAAGTGGCCAAGGCGAGGAAGAGAGCTTTCTAGGCTTGGGTGACCTCCGTTCAGAATCGTGGAGGTAGGAGATCGGCTGTATTATGTGAGAATAAACCGATTGACCGATTTGACTAAACAGCCCAATATGAAGGAGAATAATGCAATTAGACTGGAAAGGTCAGCTGAAGCCGATTATAAAAGTTTTAAATGTCAAACAGAGGAGATTGTATTGGACCGTTAGATTGTAAGCTCCCTGAGGGACTGTCTTTCTTTTTTCTTATTTGTATCCCTGGGCTTAGCACAGGGCCTGGGACATAGAAGGCACTTAATAAATGTTTATTGAACTGGATTGGTCCTAGAGGCAAGGGGGGAAGCTACCAGGCAGGGGAATCCAAAGATCAGCCCTGGGCTTTAGGAATCTCCCTTTGGTGCTTGTGGGGACCGTGGAATGGAAAGGGGAGAGACCAGAGGTAGGGAGACCACTGAAGAGGCCATTACAGTAGTCCAGGCAAGACTGGGCGATAAGGGAACTGGGGTGGTGGCTGTGAGTGGAGAGAAGAGGACAGATGTGAGTGATACAGGAACAGAATGACAATGCATCAGAACAGATTGGACATGGGGATGAGGGGAGGGAAGAGAGTGAGGAGCCCAGGATGAGGAGCCCAGCATGACTCTAGGGTGTCCAACCTGGGGAACTGGCCGGTGGTGGTGCCCTCGGTAGAAGTTAAAAAAGGGCTGGGTTGGAAGTAAGAGGAGAACACGGGGAGTTCTGTTAGGGACGTGTCAAGTTTAAGATGGCTCCAGGACAGGACGAGTCCTGTGTGTGTGACATGTCCAATGGGGAATTGGTGATGCTGGACTGAGGGACTAGGTCTGGATATAGAGATCTGGGAGCCGTGTGCGTTGAGATGAACATTGAACTAGCTGGGTAACCTCTGGGCTAGTGACCTCACTGCTCTGTCTTAGCTTTCTCATCTACAAAAGTGGGAATAATAATATTCTAATGCCTACTTCACAGGGCTATTGAGAGGAAAGCATTTTCTAAACCACAGAGACTCCCCTGGAAGTGTTAGTTATCATTCTAGCTTCCATTCTGCCATGTTCCCCATCCAGAATGCCTTTAGTGGGCACTTTACCCTGGTATTACCTGGAGGGAAATGGTTTTGTAGGGTTTGTTTTGCTTTTGTGTGTGTGTGTGTGTGTGTGTGTGTGTGTGTGTGTGTGTGTGTGTGAAAGGGCATAGTCTGATTTTCTTACCTGAAGGGTCCCCAGATCCAAATCCTGCCTAGAGAAAGAAGTCCCAATGAATTAAGAATACCCACATTGCCACTCTTGCCAAGAGATGGTGAAACAGAGAAGGAGTAGTTCATGTGTCAAGGCCTATGTGGGCAGACAAGGAGTCAGCTCCTTCAGTCTCCCAGAGCTCCAGTGAGGAAAAATGCCAGCTGTCTTGGAAGCAAGACTGCTCATGGCCAGAGCCAGCTGGGCACCAACTGACTGCCACACACCACTGAAGATCAGGGAACCAGCAGTGGAGCTCATTCTGCCCTAGGATGGACTAACCCATGTTTACGGTTCAGCCACAAGGCCTGTGTGCTGTGGTGTTTTCCACTCAAGTAACCAGGATTCCTTAGCAGTAGCCTAGGTTTGGGGGAGGGAGGCAGCCTTCTTCCCAATACACACACATCCTGCGCTGCCCTTGATCCCCTATTCCCACCTCCCTAGGGCAGGCAGCTGCTCCTGTACAGGGCCTTGGGCATAGGAAGAAGGATGGAAGGAAAGGAAGGAAGAAAGGAAGAAAAGAGGAATGAAAGAAGGAAGGAGGAAAAGGAAGAAGGAAAGAAAGGAGGAAGGGAGGGAGGGAGGAAGAAAAAGCGGGAAGAAGGGAAGATGGTGGAGAGGTAGAGCAGGCTTCTCTGTTTAGAAATTATCCTGTCTGGCCCTCACTATCTTCTCTTTCAGGGCTACCCTGGACTGAAGGGGGAGATGGTAAGATCTTGAGCAGGGAATGGAGGGGTGAGGTGGTTCTCACTGGGTCATAGTTGAGGCAATTTAAAAACAATGAGTTCTCACGTTTGAAAAAACCTAACTCAGTAACTCAGGCTGTTCAGAGCCCAGCAGGGGTGGAGCCCCACTTGGGCAAGCTGGTTGGCCTTCCCTTCTTAGGATTCTCCATATGGAGTAGAAAAAGCACATTAGGCCTCAGGCCAGGGGTCCTGGGCTTCAGTCCTGGCTCTAATAGCCAGTGGCTGTGAGATCCTGGGCAAGTGAGTGGACTTAGTGCTAGAGAGGATCTTGGACCTCCCCCCCGCCCCTTATTTTACAGATCAGGAAAATGAGGCTTGGAAGAGGTCAGGTGAATTGCCCAAGGTTGGCATTCAATCCTGGGTCATCTGACTCAAGACCCCTGTATCTTTTACGTTCTACCACACTTTCATACCTTTCATGAACCAGATCTCTCTGAACCTCCATTTCCTCATCTGTAAAATGGGGATATTTGCACTACCTGCCTCATAGGGCTATCCTAAGAAATGAAAAGCATGCTGCAACTGTTAAAGCTCTGGTCCATGTTAGCTCTGATAATCCATAGTGGCTGAGATGGAGAAGTGAGTTCTGCTGTCCAACGACCTCTCCCTACCTCAGCCTCCTGGTCTGGGTGTGTGTGTGTGTGTGTGTGTGTGTGTGTGTGTGTGTATGTGTGTGTATGTTTGTATGTGCGTTTGTGTGTATGTGTGCTTGTGTGTGTATGTGTGTATGTTTATATCTGGGGGGGATGTCTTTATGTGTTTATATGTGTGGGTGTTTACATGTGGATATGGAGATCTGGGAGCTATGTGCATTGAGATGGACATTGAACTAGCTGGGTTACCTCTGGGCAAGTGAGCTCACTACTCTGTCTCAGCTTTCTCATCTATAAAAATGGGAATAATAATATCCTAATGCCTACTTCACAGGGCTATTGAGAGGAAAGCATTTTCTAAACCACAGAGACTTCCCTGGAAGTGTTAGTTATCATTCTAGCTTCCATTCTGCCATGTTCCCCATCCAGAATGCCTCTAGTGGGCACTTTACCCTGGTATCACCTGGAGAGAAATGGTTTTGTAGGGTTTGTTTTGCTTTTGTGTGTGTGTCTGTATGTGGGTATTTTTATATGTGTAGGGGGGTGTTGTGTGTGTATGTGTGTATGTGCTTGTACATGTGTGTATTTGTATGTGTTCATGGATATGTTTGTTGCCTATGTGTTTGTGTGTATATGTCTGTGTTTATATATGTATGTGTATGCATGTGTGTATTTGTGTGTGAGAGCATGTGTGTGTTTATGTGTGTGTGTGTGTGCTTTCTTCTTCAGGAATCTGGCGTATGCTTAGCTCGACAGCCCTGCTGGGTTGGGAAATGTTCCCCTAGGCTGAAAGCCCAGCAAGTTGCCTGGGATGGGCCTGATGACATTGTCTTGTGAAACAGAAGAGGAGGCTGAGCGGACAATTAACAGCAGATGGACTGAGCATGTGTGCATGAGGGAATGATGCTCCAGCTTACACCTACAGGCCTGGGCATTCTCCCCAGTGTGAGGGGCCGGCTGTAACTTCAGCTGCCCAGAGGAGGAGCGAGCCTTCTGTCTGGCCCTTTGCAGCCGACTCCTGGCCAGAAATGGTTCGGGCTGCCCAGCCTGAAACCTCCTCGCTCTAAAGGCTGGTGAGGCTGTTCACAAGCCACAGCTGGGGAGCTGCTGGAGAATGGGCAGCCAGACCTGCCCGGGCAAGGCAGCAGTCCTTCTGCCCCTGGATAGAAAACCAGACAGGGAAGCAGGATCTGAGTTGCAGTCAGGGTTCCGCTTCTAACTCAGGCTACGATCTTAAGCAAGTTCCTGGGCCCTGGCTTGCCCATCTGTAAAGTAGAGATAATACCACATTCACTCATTTATTCACTGGGCCTCAGTTTCCCCATCTGTTAAATGAGGAGTTTGGACCAGAAGACCTCCTGCCAGAGGTCCTGCTAGACCTATGACATACCTGTAGAGCATCACCTTGATTTGTGCCTTTCTAATGCACTCATCTGGGAATACTGTGTCTTACAGTCATTCATGTGTGTGACTTTTCCCCTTACTGGACCATGAACTCCATGAGGGCAGGGCTTTCTCATCTGAGGTCCAGATAAACCCTCTGTGGGCCCTCAATCATGGGAGAACAGTGGTTGGGGTTCATCTAAACTAATTGGCAAGCACTTTTAACAAATGTTTGACCGGTGTACCATCTTGGTGACAGCCTCTCTGGGCAAGCCAGGATTCAGACCCCAGTCTTTTAATTCCTGACATGAGAAGTAGGGACTAATGCTGTACTCATGGAACCTTAGAGAATTTAGGAGGTGGAAGGGATCTTGGGTCATGTGGTCCAGCCGCCTAACTTTGCAGTGTGGTCAGTGAGGCCTGGAGAGAGGGAGTAACTTGGCCAAGATCACAAGCTAAGCAGACTTTCTAACTTTCACCTTCACCTTTGAATCCCAGGTAGGTCCACGGGAACATAGGATCATCGATTTAGCACTTAGAAGGCCATTGGGTCCAACCTCTTCATTTTTCAGTTGAGGAAACTGAGGCCCATAAAGGTGAAGTGGTTTTCTCCCACTTCCTTGCCGTGGCATCTCTTCACTTGCTCTTCCCCTCCTCCTCTCCCGATGGCCTCGGGCAGCCATTGCTCTGTAATGCTAGCTGCAGCTCTTCACAAGCACTGGCTATATGAGCTTGGGTAACTTTCTCCCCCTCTCTCTGGGCCTCAGTTTTCCCTCCTGTAAAATGGAGGTGATGCTTGGATGATTTACCCTGTTGGGTTGTGGTGAGCATGGCCTTTGTCCTTATGAGGAAGGGACTCCCTAGGACCAAGTCTTTCTTCCATGAACCGCCCATCTTCCCAGCCTGTCTGCATGCCTTGCACAGTGGGGGCTAATCCCAGCACCCTGTGAAGTCCAAAGAGAGCCAACAAGAAGGAAAGATGGGATGGAGGAGCCGTCTCCCTCCCAGATCAGCCAACGCGTGTTTTCTATATCCCCTTCTTCCTCATCACCATCTATCAAAATGAGACAGGCCTTGGCACCATTGGCCTCTGTTTGACTTGGCTTGACAGCTAGGAACTATTCATTCAACACCACTGTTTAAAGTCATTATCTTGCCCTGTTTATCATCTGTGTACCACCCTCGGCCCTCCGCTGTCTCTCAGAGACTCGCTCACTCACTTTTTCTTTTTTGTTTCTTTTCCATATTCTTTTTCTTTCTCTCTCTCTCACTTCCTAATGCTGTCGTTCTGGCTGGCTTGTCTTTCTCTGCTGATGTCTCCCGGAAGCAGCTGGGGAGAGTGGAGCAGTATTTGGGACGTACTGATTCTGCCTTCCTGTCCTCAGGAAGAGACTGGAGAGGAGAGCATCTCTCCACCACCAGCCCCAGCTTCAGAACACCTGGTTCCCCCAGCAGAGTGGGAAAGCCTAACCTTAACTCCTGAGTTCCTGCCTCCACTTCCAACACGCTGGGCTCGATCTCCAGTAGGGAAGGTCCACTTTCCCTGTCTTTTGAACATGGAACATAGTCTAAGTAGCCAAGTTAATGCTCCATCCCATATGGCCCAACCTCATCTCAGGAGTCCTGCTAGGCTCTACTTTCATCTCCTGAGCAAAAGGCAACCCTAATCCAGAACCCATCTCCATCCCTAGCTTCAGAAGCTGCAAAGAGCCTCCCATTCCTTCCCTTCTCCTGCCAAGCTCCCCCACCCCATTGCTTCTGAGCTATCTATGAGGAATAAGATGGTGTGGGAGAAAGACCATGGGTTTGAAAGTCACAAGACGTCAGTTTGAATTCTAGCTCCAATATACTCCCTTTCACTTCACTGGCCTTCTGTTACACCTGAAAGATAGACACAGTCAGCCTGGCTCACCCCACCACACAGGGAGTCTTCATGAAGGATGGGAGGGCCCATTATCACAAAGCACCTTAAAGTTTGTAAAGACATTATCTTATTTGGGTCCTGAAACAACCTGTGAGGTGAGAACAACAAGCATTATTATCCCCATTTTACAGGTGAGGAAACTGAGTCTTACAGTAGCAAAATCACCTCCATTAGTCAACTAATAAGTAGGGGTATGGTAAGATTTGAATACAGCTCTTCCTCACTTACTAGTTCTGTGGCCCTGGACAAGTCAATTAATCTCTCTAGACCTCTACATTCTCACCTGTAAAATGGGAATAATAATAACATCTATGATACCAACCCTCAGAAAGTTGCTGTAAGGTCCAAATGAGATAGCATACATAAAGTGCTTTGTAAAGCACTATATAAATATTAACTATGTTCATGTTTAGGAAAGGGCTATCTGATGATATAGATGATGGAAACTGAGGCCCAGACAAATTAAGGGATTTGCCCAGAAACATGCAGCTAATAAGTGTCTGAGGCTGGATTCAAACCTGCTTCTCCTTGAAGGCATGAATTATTTCATATGGCCTAGCACATAATAAGCGTTTTTGATAAATGCTCATCAAAGCTAAATGACATTCTTCAGCCTGGTAACTTTGCCATGGTGGCATCATACTGCCTTTTGACTCCCTCCTGTGAAGGCTAGGGTAGGGGATAAGTGGGGCAAAGACCTCCTCAACCCCTGTATGCTCCCTGGATGTTTTTAATGAAGAGAGGGAGGGAGCACCCCATCTATTTGCCAAGGGCAGTCTGAGAAATAAATCAAGCCTTTCTCTACCTATTTCCACCTTCTTTCCCTCTCCCCACTCCTGAGCTAGATAATAATTATTAACATTATGCTAAGCATATGAATATAATTACAACATAATTATATTATTATAATAACTAGCATTTATATTGTGCTTTGAAGTTTTCAAAGCACTCACAACAACCCTATGAGGTATGTGCAATTATTAAATCCATTTTACAGATGAGGAAACTGGGGCTGAAAGATGTAATCCAGGATCATTTGAGTAAAATGTCTGAGAAAAAGTAGAATTCAGCTTGTCCTGACTTCAGGCCCAGTGCTTTCTCTATAATGTCACCAGCTACCTAGGTTCAGCAGTGTTTGTGTCAGTGAAAGCTTTGGGATTCTGTTGATTTTCTTCTTAATCCTTGGCTTTGTCTCAGCTGATTGGATATGTTTCCTTCTCCTCCCAGGGTCTCTCAGGTCCCAAGGGACAACCGGTAAGTCCTCAGATTGGGTGGGACATTCCTATCGGAAATGGCACTTTCCCAGTTAGCTTTGAGTCAACCAGCACATATTAAACACCTACTGTGTGCCTGGCACTGTGCTAAATTCAGTGGCTAAAAAGAAAGGCAAAAATCTAGTCCCTACCTTCAAGCAGTTCATGGTCTAATGGAGGAGAAAGTATGTCAATTAGTAAGGACAGAGAAGATCTCTACTGAGTAGATGAAGGGTAATCTCGGAGGAAGACACCAGCTGAGGGAAGCAGGGAAGGTGAGAACCATGAAAAGCCTGAAGAAGGTGGGGTTGGGGCCAAGTCTTGAAGGAAGCCAGGGAAACCGGAAGGTGGAGGGGAGGAGGGAACATTCTTTACCCCAGGCCTCAGTTCCTCACCTTTATTTTGTTGTCTAATTTCTCTTTGTAGGGACCCCCAGGACAAAAAGGAGAAAAGGTAAGTTTCACTGTGGATTTCTAGGATTTTACTTTTAATGAAATATGAAGCCTCCCAAGAGATCAAGAGAAATCATGGCTTTTTTTTTTGATGAGGCAATCACACAGCTAGTGAGGGTTATGTCTGAGTCAGATTTGAACTCAGGTCCTCCTGACTCCAGAGTCAGTGCTCTATCCACTGCACCACCTGGCTGCCCCCAAATCATGGCTTTTTAACACTGATTTTTTGATTTGGTGTGGTATAGCATGGTAGGGAAGTGCAACTAGGTGGCACAGTGGATAGAGCACCTGAACTAGAGTCAGGAAGACTCATCTTCCTGAGTTCAAATCTGGCCTTGGGTACTTACTAGCTGTGTGACTCTGGGCCAGTCATTGAACCCCATTTACCTCAGTTTCTTCATCTGTAAAATGAGCTGGAGAAGGAAATGGCAAACCACTCCAAGAAAACCCCAAAAGGGATCACAGAGTCAGATACATCTGAACAACCGAATGATGACATGAGCGTGGGGCCCAGATCACAAAACCAAAGAGTTTTGAACGATCTCAGCAGTCAGTCCAACCTGTGCCCATCAGGAACCCCTTCTTCAGCTTCCTTAAGCAGTGGTCACCCCACCTCTGGTCAAAGATCTCCAGGTAGAGAGTTCCCATGGCCGCCGTTTCAATCAGGACCGCTCTGGTCCTTGGGAAGGTTTTCCTTGAATTGAATGCAAATGTGTCTCTTGGCAACTTCCAATCATTGTTCCCAATTCTGTCCCATGGGGCCTCGAAGAATGAGGCTAATTCTTCTTCCACATGACAGCCACTCACACATTTGAAGGCAGAAATCACATCCCCCGTCAGTATTCTCCTCTCTAGACTAAACAGTCCCAGTGTCTTCAAAAAGCAAGAAACACTTTCCCAGCCAATGTTTAAGAGGCAAGAGACCCGAGTTCAAACTCTAAATTTGCTATTTACTATGTGTTGGATCTGAGCAAGTAATTTCCCCTCTCTGGGGCTCATTTTCCTTTTCTGTATAAAATAGAAAGCAGATTGCGTAATCTCCAAGGTCCCTCCCAGCACTAACCCAATGTTAGGTGACATGTTTAGCCTGGAGGTAGATTGGTGGAGGAAGATGGATTAGATTTGTCCTCTCTGGTCCCAGAGAGTGGAATTAGAAACAAAATAACAGATTTAGACATGATATAGACTCATAGATTTAGAGCTGGAAAAAAACCTTAAAGACCAGTGAGTCCAGCCCCTTTGTTTTACAGAAGAGGAAACTGAGGCACAGAAAGGTTACCTGGCTGGCTCAGAATCAGATAGTTGGTAAGCAGCTAAGAGCAGATCCCACAGCCAAGGCCAGAGCTCATTCTACTAAGCCGATGGACTCAGAAGTAACTGCCTACCAATGAAAGTTGTCCAAAAGTGGAAGGGGTTACCGGGGAAAGCTGTCCCCCTTGCTTGAAGGTCTTCAAGCAGAGACTGGACAACCACTTGTCATAGGGATTCCCACCAATTAGAGGCTCAATTAGATGGCTAAAGAGGACCCTCCCTACTCTGAGATTCTAAGATTCTTTGGCCAAATTAGACTAGCTCTGCCTTGGCAATAGTGCCAGGCTTTTCATGAGGTAAGCCCAATATCTGCTTTGAAGGTTACACTGCTCTCTCTTCCATTTAAAGCAAGTGCCTCTCCTCTGGATATGTTAGTGTTCAGTCCTTTTCAGTCCCGTCCAACTCTTCATGACCCCATTTGGAGTTTTCTTAGCAAAGATATTAGAGTAGTTGGCCATTTCCTTCTCCAGCTCATTTGACAGATGAGGAAACTGAGGCAGGCAGGGTTAAGTGACTGGCCTAGGGTCACACAGCTAGTAAGTGTCTGAGGCCAGACTTGAACTCAGGAAGATGAGTCTTCCCCACTCCAGGCCCAATGCTCTGTGCACTATGGCTCCACCTAGCTCTCTCCTCTGGGTATAGTCGGTTCATTATTGTTATTACCTAGGCCAGATTTGATTTTGGAAACAGAAAGTGAGATTAGAAATAGATCTTGCAGGCTCTGGAGCTCACCCAAAGGGAGCTCCTCCATGTCCAAAGCCTCTGCTCATTGGGATTATTCCAACCCTGCCCATATACTGCTTCTTGACTTTTCTGGGAAGTGATATTAGCTTCCTTCAACAGCCTCAGATTTGAGAGAGTCAGAAGAATCAGAATGTGATCATGTGGTATCTGTGCCACTCTGAGGTTTACAAAGCACTTTCCCTCTCCTCACCTCCACAAGACCGGGAGTGGAAGCACTGTCATCCCCTTTATACAAAGGGGCAAATGCTCAGCACTGTAAAATTACTTGTCCCAAGTGACACTGCTAGTCTAAATCAACATGCATTTATTAAGCACTTACTGTATACAAAGCACTGGGGATAAAAAGAAAGAGGCCCAAGTTTCTCCTGAGGATCCACACTAGTAGCATGGTGACTGGCAGCCTGGGAAGCCCTCCACTGAAACTACCAGGCTACAAATGTGAGGGGGCATCTTAACAATCATCTCTGTTTCTCTTTCTTTCCCTAGGGTCAATGTGGCGATTACCCACACCGGGTAAGCAGATCTCTCTTCTCTTTCTCCAAACTTTGGGCTCCTTCAGTCGGCATTTCTTGACCTGTTACTAATAGGAAGACCAATGTTCTTCCTTTTTTCCCCCAACCCATGACACGCTTCTTAACATGTTTTAGGGGGAATCGGAGAGTAGATCAAAGTAAATTCTCAATTCTCTGCTTTACAGGGTCTTGGGGATCACCTCGGCTCTCCTGCCCCATTAGAGACTCAGGCTGTGAAATTCATGGCTAGTCAGATGTGGGCTGGGGCTGAGCTCGGGGGAGGAAGTACTGGAGGGTGTGCATAACTGTGTGTGGACGATGGTGTGGCTGGGTGCTTGTTTGTGCCTACGTGCCCCGGGCTTGCGCCTGACTCCAGGGCTGACCACATGCTTCATGGCATGTGCCTAAGCAGATTCCAAAGCCAAATATAAGCAGCTCTTTGCGGTGAGCCACACCTCCTCTTGCTGCTGTTGCTGCAGATAATTGAAGGCTGACTGTCCAAAAAACTAGGGGTGAGGTCCTCACTTCACCCCAGCACTTTGAAACCCAACTTCCAGGCAGAGCTAGAGATGGCCACCTTGAGGCAAAGGCAGTCTACTTTCCCCAGCCTCATAGCCCCCTCCCTCAGTGCTCAGACCTCCTTTTGAGGTCATCTATTTATGGCTGGGGAGCAGGCCCTCTGGAGGGCCAAAGGGCACGGATGTTTTAGTTGGGGTTCAACAATCAGAAGCCAAGTGACATCTCAATCCAGAAAAATGATCGCTTTTCATTTGGAGGGGTAGGGGGAGGTCACCTCACCTCTCACCTGGCTACTCTCTATGACAATAAAGGGGAGAGGAAAAGGAGGAAGTGAAAGAAATAGTTCATTCAGGAATACACACTGTGGACACTGGGATATATTTACACATACTAATGGGTTGCCAGGCATGCTCCCAGGGCTAATAGTCCTACCCCTCCACTGTTGCCCTGTCAAGCACACATTACCGAGGAAGGCAGGGTGAGCTAACCATGAGCCTCAAGGAGAGTATAATTCACCCAAAATCCAAGCTTTCCTTGCTCAGACATCCACTGGGAAGATACCAAGATGCATACCCACAAAACTGAAGTCACCCTAGCCAACACCACAGGGGCTTTCACAGGCAGCTTGGCTTTTGCCAAGACAATTACCTTGGACCCTGGGGCTAGTTAGAGCTCTGGGATGAAGACAAGCTGCCAGGGGCAATATGGATTGGGAAAGGGAGAAGGCCATTTGGAACAATGGACTCATAGGATTGTTATGAGGGAACAAAGGAGGGAGGAGGGAGGAGACTGATAGAAAGAGAGAGGAGAGAGGAACAAAGAAAGAGAAAGAAGGAAAGAAAGGAGAGGGAGGAAGGGAGAGAGAGACAGAGAGAAGAAAAGAAACAAAACACTCATATCCCAGCCTCACAGAATAGACCAGTCACCATGTTAGCAGTGATCTGACTCATGGAACAGCCCAGTTGGGGTATCACAAGGAAGAAGAGACCACCCTCCTCTTCCTATTGCTGACAGAAATATGGAGGAGCAGACGCCGTGGGGAAGGGGTCCTCCACCCTCTGAAAAGTTGCTCTGTGTCTTCGCCATGGCTACGCACCTGGTCTAACTCAGTTCTCTCTCTCTCCCCAACACACACACACACACACACACACACACACACACACACACACACGCACACACACGCACACACACACACGCACCCCTCCTGTGCAGCTACAGAAGGATATGGCAGAAGCACTAGCAGGAGAGGGAGAGAGAAAATCAGAGGGAGAAGAGATTTCTGGGTAGCCCTTGTCTCTTCCCTAAAGAGCTTGGTTTCCTGGCTGTTCAATGGATAACCTCCTCATTCCCCAACATGACCTGTGTGGCAGATAAAGGTTAAAGGGGGCAAAGGTTATGAACCCACCCTGAGGGTTCATTCAGTAACTGGGTGGGACGGTTAGAGAAAGGAAGGATGTGAAATAGCTGGGATGTGACCTTCCGGGTCTGGTAGAGGGGAGGGACTGGTCTAGAGCTGGGTCTGATGGGTTTGGACAACTCACTATGTGTTCTGTCTCCACTCTCCCTCCCGGCCCCCCAGGAGTACCTAAGCACCACCCTGGCAGCCCTGCGTTCCAACCAGATAATTACCCTGAAGGTTTGTGGGCTCTGAGGATGGTCTGTGTGGAGCCTGCTCTGCCGAGGAGCATTCACGGGCAAAGACCCCAATGTCATACACCCCATGGCAGTGGGCAGGGGGATGGAAGCGGATTCTTTCCAAACGCAGCAGTGAGCCATCAGCATGCCCCTCCCCCGCCCAGTCAATTCAAATTATCTCCCCAGTGAGGAGGGAACCCCACTTCTTCCTGGCTTTGTTCTCAGTTCCCAAGAATTCCATACATACATACCCTGGTGCGTTTTTACTACTATTATCATAATTATTGTTGACATTCTTCTCATTCTTCTCATCTTATATTTGCTAATAATACTTTATTCTCATCAGCACCAGGTGAAGTGGATAGAGAGCTGACCTCAGAGCCAGGAGGCTATGAGTTCTAATCCTGCTTTTGACACAGACTAGCTGTGTGACTCTGGACAAGTCACTTAACCTCTTAGGGTTCTAGCCCAATAAGAATTTATTTAGTACCTACTGTGTGCCAGGCATTGTGCTAAGCGCTGCTCCAGGCAAGTCTTGAAGCTGTAGGTAAGATGTTGACCTGCATCAATAGACTTCCCTCTACCCATGAAATCACAAGTCAAGACCCTATCTTATTTTAACTTTGTTATTGTTTTACAGAATATATTACATTATTATCATTTCCCTCATTGCTTAATCGATATTCAGTATATTCAAACAACTGAGGACTCCAGGGAAATCTTTGGCCTCTATTTTGAAAACACTGCCCTGCCCCCTGCTTTCGGGTGAGCATCCGCTCTGACCATAGTGACCACACCTTCCACATGGGCCAGCCTCTGCCAGCATGATGAGGCCCACACCTGACCACCCACCCTCAGATTTGGCCAAAGTCTGTCAGGTTCCCATTTTACTCAAAGAAGACCTAAAGGTCACTTCATGCCATAGTGACTTAAAGCATCAATTTCCTTTCCCCAAGGCTTGCTGGTGGCCCATGAGTCAGAGCCTCCGCAGGCTGGTTAACCTCAGCCTGGCGTGGTCTATGTAAAGCCCAAAGTAAGGGCAGGGCATTGGCAGCACGATATTGGGCCACAGTGTTTGCTCCTCGGCAAGGCAGGCTCCTTGGCTCCAACAAAGCCACGTCAGATGGGCAGAGAGGAGTGAGGGCAACGGCGGGGAGATCTGGGCAAACCTCTCGCTCTGAGGCAACCTCCCTGGCTAGGGCCTCCAGCTCGCAGATCAGCCCCTTGGTAGGAGTGAGCAGCATCTAGGGATGAGAAAGGACCTAGAAATGGAGCCCCTCTTTCCCTTGTATGCACCAGTCCCCCAGAGATGAATGGGGCAAATCCTTGGGGCCTCAAAATGGGCAAAGGATGACCCCAACTTGACCTGTCCTTTGCATGGTCTCTATACTCACTGAGGTCCCCAATCTGGCCAGGATAATTTCTCTGTTGGACTCAAAAGTGGACTGCCAGGGGGACAGGGTTATCTGCCAGTGCTGTTTGCCATCCCTGGGGATGGTACAGGGATGGGCCTCTTCTAGATGCCAGCTTGCCACTGCCGCTGAGCAGAGATGGCTTCAGAAGACAGGGACCTCTCCAAAGAAGTCTTAACTTAGGCTCCTCTACACTAACCAGCCAATTAATGGCCATCCAAAGGTATGGAAAAACACCAGCCCTTCCAAAAAAGGGTGGGGGGGCTCAAGGGCCTTCCCTTGGCTGTTCCTGTCCCTTCCTCCTTTTGTTGGGGAGCCCAGGCAGAAGACGCTCAGAGCTCCAAGGTTTGTCCTTTGGTCTCCACTGCAAAAACACCCCTCTGCCCATTCATTGCCTCTTCTGTGTCTTCACCAATGGTTCATCCTCATTAATCTTTCTTTCCTCTCTTCTCTCTCCCTTTCTCTTTCCTGACCTGTCCTTCTGGGATTCTCGGCATCTTCCTGGCTACTTGTGACTTTGGCCTCTGTCCTCCTCAGCTGCTGCCTCTTCTCAATTCAGTGCGGCTAGCACCACCCCCAGTCATAAAGAGACGCACCTTTCAGGTAGACACCTTCTCTTGACACACTCTGTGACTTCTGCAGGGAAGGCTTCCGGGAGGGGGAGGCCAGCCAAGCTTCAGGCCCAACAGGGCAGGGTGACAAGAACCCCGAGCTTGCAGAGGGTCAATTCCTCCATCAGATATTACACCAGGGATTCTTAACCCTTTTATGCCATGGGCTCCATGGTAGTCTGGCGCTTCTCAATATAATCTTTTTAAATAATTGAAGGAAATGTTAAATTTCAGTTAGCGGTTAATGAAAATCAAGATGTCGGGTTTTTTCCATAAATGTTCACAGACCCCTTGAAATCTCTCCACAGACCACTTGGGAATCCATGGACCCCAGGTTAAGAATTCCTAAGCTACGTGGGCTCTTTCAGCTCAGAATCCTGTAATCTAATGGGGTCTGGTCATGACATCCTTTCCCTCTGACTCTGGTATCAAAGCTGGCAAAAGGCAGAGCATCTGGGTATTTTCAATGTTTAAAAACACAAAAACTTAAACAAGCAATCACCCAAGCTGCCAGAAGCCTCCACCCCCATTTAGGGTATGGAATGTTTGAAAAAGCACTTTCCTTACAATAATTATTTGAGGTAGATATTATTCCTCCTTTTACAGATGAGGAAACTGAGGCTCAGAAACATGAAGGGACTCGACTATAGTCAAAGTTAGTGAAGAGTATAACCAGGTATCCTGATTACAAGTCCTTTTCTTATAATTTGAAATGACTTTTATTTTTATCTTTAATTCAATTTAATTTTATTTTTAGTTCCCCACACATTGATAAAGCAAGAAATACAAAGTCTGCTAAAAAAAAATACGTAGAGTCAAGCAAAACAAATTCCCACATTAGTCATGTCCAAAAACTAAACAAAACCCAAACCCCAAACACCTCTGCCTCAGTGTGCTCTCTGGGTCCATCAGCTCTGTCTCTGGAGGTGGATAGCATGTTTCATCAGGAATCCTCTGGAACTGTGCTGAACTCCATTGTCTTGAGCTGAGTTCCCAAGTCTTTCATAGTTTCCATGGCACCCCCTTCGTTGCTGGTGGGTGTAGTTTGGGGCTCAAAATCATAGGCCACCTTGTGGGGCAGTGAGAAGAGCATTTGTGGATTTGGGGGCAGAGAGAGGACTTAGGTTGGATCCTGGCTCTAATGGTCACTATTTGGGACCCCAGGCAAGACCTTCTTCCCCTCTGGGTCTCTGTAAAATGAGGGGGGTGGGCCAAAAGACCTCTAAGGTTCCTGCCTCTGACCCTCAGAGCTGGAAAGCCATTGTCCCAACATGAAGGGGGCTTAGAGCAGAGGGCAGTGGGAGCACCTACAGTCAGGATAGCCAGCAGCTGGCTGTCTGGAGGGCTGAGAGCCCAGTAACCTGAATAAACATGCATCTCTGCAGTGTCCGGCAAAACCGAAACCAGAGCTCTGATCAATGACTAAAAATACTGAGGGACATCTGATGCATGTGTTACCTGACCCTGACAGGGGCCAGCCAAATCCTAGACAGCCTTTGGGCGCTCAGGGACCTTAATCCAGGCATCATTTGGTGGTAAGCAGGGATCTGGGCTCACAGACCAGCTTCAGAGCGGCGCCACACTTGGCCAGGCCCATCAGCCACGGGGGCCTCTGGTGTGTCAGGAAATCTCCCGGCTGTTTTCTTTCAGAGGGGCTGCAGCTGGGGCTGTGGGTCTTATCTCAAGGCCTTCCAAAGTTAAACTGTCCCAGAGCAAGGCAAGGGAGGGCAGGCGATGAGAGCCAGGAGGCTAAGACCTGACTCCCCGACTCCCTCCTCATGGGACTTGGGCAGGCCACTCCCTCCTCAGAGCCTCAGTTTCCTGCTCCATAAGATGGGGAAAGGAAGAATCCTGCCCTGCCTACCTCACAGGATTCCTAGAATCATTGCTGTCCATGTAAAAGGGCCTTCCAAGGCCATCTCATCCACCTCACTCCTTTTACTGAGACCCAGAGGAGAGAAGTGACTTGTCCATGGTTGCACAGGATATAGATGAGACTTGAACCCAGGTTCTCTGACTCCAGGGCCATTACTCCTCTCCTATACCAGGTTTATCAAAGCGTTAGGGCGGTGGGAACTTCCGTTTTCATTCCTCTCGCACTGACCATGGCCAAAGAAGTCCCTTGAACTTTACCTCCTGGATCTTCATGGAGGACAGTTATCAGCATACTATGGCAGCCCAGCATAATGTGTAGAGGGCTGTCTACAGAGCCAGGACGGTCTGCTTCTGATATATCATGTTTAATAACATAGATGGTGCTACAGCCGTAGAATGTTTGCATGTACATATAATCCCATGTTAGGCCTCATTAAAGGAGTGATCTATGAGAAGCAACATGATATTGTGGCTAGAGAGTCAGGAAGACCTGGGTTTGAGCCCTACCTGGGACACATCGGGTGGCCGTGGCCAAGTCTCTGACTACAGGGTGTAAGGTGGCCGCCGATGCCCATTGGTGAAAGAAGGCTCCTCAACAGTGGGCATCTCCTCTATGCTAATGAAATAACCAGTCTGGTCCAAATACTAATAGAGTCTTGCCTTTGTATAGTGTTTACCAAGCTTTTCCCTTCAGCAGTCCTATAGTCAAGATGATGGTGGCTGCTGACATTTTTATAATGTGCCAAGGTTTACAAAGCCCCTTACATACATGATCTCATTTGATCCTCCCAGTGATCTAAGGTTGTTAGAGGGGGGGAGTGCAGGTATATTTGTCCCTATTTCATCGATGAACAAACCAAGACCCAGAGACCTGAGGTCACTGAGTGAGTTTTTAGACCCCAGGACATCAGACCCCAAATCCAAGATGGTCCCTACTTCACCAATCTACCCCAAGACAAGTTCTTAGTTAGTGCTAGAACTAGTTCTAGAGCCTGGGGTCCCTGATCACCAGCCCCAGCTCTTGGCCCTAAACCAGAAGGAGCTGGTTGTTTATTAAGCTCCTCCTCCCAAGAGCTGAGCTCAGATCATTTCTTTGGAGGTCATGGAGAAAATATGTGAGCTAGCTAAATGTCTGTCAGAGCATGGCTTTCAATGCTCCATATATGGGTACACTCAAAGCTCCATGCATGTGCAAAAGAAAAGGTCTCGAATTCCTCCTGCCCGGGCTGCCCAGTCACACACACACACACACACACACACACACACACACACACACACACACTGTGCCTGGCTTCCCCAGGGGAGTGCACAGGAGAGTCCTGCCAACTAATCATAGCATCATAGAATCTCCAGCTGGGCAGGGCTTTCAAGATCATCTTGGATCAATTGGGACATTTAGCCTGGAGAGAGCAGACTTGGAGGTGCGGGGTGGATGGCATTGCCATATTCAGGTGGGATGAGATTTTTTTTTTCTGCTTGGCCCCAGAGGGCAGATGAGCTGATTGGGCTACAGAGAGACGATGTCCTCTTGACATGAGGGAAAACTTCTTTTCCAATAGACCTGTCCTAAAGTGAACTGGGCTGCCTCAGGAAGGCTGCAGGGGATCAGGGTAAGAACATGGAATTGGGAGCCAGGAGACCTAAGCCAGGCACTTCACCAGATAGCATAGGTGACTAGGTAGTCAATGTAGAGAGCAGTGGTTCTGGAGAACTGAGTTCAAATCCAGCCTCAGACGGACACTTCCTAGCTGTGGAACTCTGAACAAGTCATTCAGCCTCTGGCTGCTTCAGTTTTCTTATCTGTAAAGTGGGGATAATAGCTCTTACTCCCAGGGTTGTTGTGAGGATCAAATGAGGTAATATTTGTAACATACTTTTTAAACCTTAAAGAGTACTCACTTTTATTAGGAGATGTGGAACCATAGGCAAGTAAGCACCTTAATTTCTCTGCACCTCAGTTTCTTCCTCAGTAAAAATTGGGATGATTATAATCACAATAGACCCTTAGTGCTTTGACCTTTGCAAAGTCCTCTGACTTCCTCATGGAAAAGGTTTTGCACTATCAAAATGTGTCACCCTCACAAGGGTTTTTTAGTGGACACCGGATGGCCACACGTTGAGAATTGTTGTAGAGGGAATTCCTAAGGTATAAGTTGCACTAACTCCCTTCTGAGTCCCTTCTTACCCTGAGATTCTAGTCCTCTTCTGAATAAATTAACCAGGGTCACGCTGCTAATGGGATAGAGGTGAACTTGACCTCGGTTCTCCGAATTCCAGACCCTTCATCTTTGGGGCTATAATAAGCTACCTCTCAATCCCCCATCTTAGTGGATCAGATCCTTGGAGGAGGAGTGACCAGTTGGTCAGCAGAAGGGATTCCAGAGGAGAGGTGCTAGTCCCCCTCCCCCCCACCCCGGATTCCTTGAAGGTGAATCTGTGATCAAAGAATTTACAAGTTGGGAAGGACCTCAGCCGTCTAGATCTCCTTTAGAAGGGACCTCAGATGGACCTCAACATCATCCAGTCCAGCCCTTGACCAAAGCATTGAATCCCCTCAATAACATCTAGTTTTTGCTCTAGGACCTCTGGTGATGGGGAGCTTGACACTTTCCAACATGAGCTGTTCCATTTGGGGCCAGTTAGAATTATTTAGGAAATTTTCCATTGTATTGAGCCAGAATTAGCCTCTGTGTAACTTCCAACCACTGGTCCTAGAGTCTTGCCTTCCAGGAGAAAATGGAAGGCCAATTTAGACCATTGAAACTGATCGGTCACTTGAGAAAAAGACCATTTTTTTAAGATTAAGAAGATGAAGCCACAGCGCTTCCCCACAAATCTAGCTCAGAGAATAACACTGCCAGATGTGGCATTAGCAAGCATCTCTGTACCTTTCTGGGCCAGTCAGACCTCACTTACTGGAACCAGTTGGGAAAAGGCCAGTCTGGGAGTGCTCCCCGCCCACGTCCCCTTTTGGGGCCTGGTGCTCCTGGCTCTCCTCCTCTGACTGCCACACTCCTTTCTGCATGTGATCACCAATATCACCTTCCTCACAATCATCACCATCATCTTCATCATCACCATTGGAGGGCTGAGGCTTCCCCGGGGTACACGGCACAGTGGTGGGAGTCCCCATTGCTGCTCTTCTGACTCCTTGTTTCCATGAACCTCAGGGTGAACAGGGACAAGCAGGCATCCAAGGCCCCCCTGGGCCGCCTGGTCCCCCTGGACCTTCTGGACCTATTGGACCTCTGGGTAACCCGGGAGAGCCAGGGCCCATGGGGCCACCCGTAAGTATGATCATCTTCTCCCCATTCTCCTCCCTGTAACTTCTCCTCCCAAGGCCGAGGGGCTGGCTTGAAAACTGGTGTTGGGGTCAGCTAGGAGTGAAGGAGGCATGGGCACCCACAACTGAGTCTCTCTAATGTTCTCCTTGTCCTGTTCTTGGATCACAGGGCAAAGCAGGAGAGCCAGGGAAGCCAGGCAAGGATGGAGAGGTATCTTTTCATGCTGTTCTTTGGGCCTCTCTGCCACCCAGGTGGCACTGCCATAAGGGCACTGTAACACCGGGAGGGAGCCTATCAGTCCAGATGAAGAAGAACAGTAGGACACAAGAGCCACTGGTCCAGAGGGGATCCAATGGAGAGGTCGTTTAGGCCATTCCCCTGCCTCCAACTATAGATCAAATAGGAATGTTACTAGGACCATGGGTTTCCAAAGCCCCGTTACTGCAAGTTGAATTCTTATGATTAAATGCCAGCATAAGAGAAGAAGATGGACAATCCCTGGGAGAGACAGGAGAGTGTTGACCTTGGAACCTGGAGACTGGGGCTCTTGTCATGACACATTTAACCATTCTGAGCTTCCGTTTCCTCAGCTGTCCAATAGGGATAATGATAAAACTAATATTCTCTACTCCACAGGGTTACATTTTTCAAGCCTGAAAGTGCTCTAGAATTCAGACTAGTCCAGTCATTTGCAAAGATCCACTAATCTAACTTAGTTCAAGCCCCAGGACCCAACCTATTGATTTTGTAAAGCTTCAGGTCCAGAGCAGATCACAATAGCCATGTGGTCCCAAGGCTGAGCCCACAGGAGCCATCTTTCCTCTGGTTCCAGTCTTCTATCCCTACCCACCATGGCTCCCAGCACAGTCAGCATTGTTATCCTCTCCCAAATTCCCTGCTTGTCCCTTGGAAATGTCCTTCACCCAAGAGAGAATGCAGCCCTCCCTTCCAGGAGAAGGTGGGAACAGCTGCCAAAGATGGGGCCCTCAGGGATTTGAGTGCATTCAGAAATAGCTTCAGGAAGCCAGAGCTGCTGGACAAAGTTGGTTTTTAGGAAGGGATCTGAACTTGGAAACAGGCAAGGATGGGGGAAGGGAGGATGTGGGGAGGAGAGGTGTGGACTTGGACGAAACAGAATCTTCCCATCTCCAAAGACTCTCACCCATTTTCATTGAAAAAGCATTCCCCTCCTCTAAGGAGCTCCCTGTGGGACTTTGAGTGAGGCCCCTCCCCTCTCAGGGCCTCAGTTTCTTCACCTATAAAAGGAGGAGGTTGGGTCAAATGATTTCCCAGGTCCCGAAGACCTCCATTGACTGGGAGTTCACTGCTCATCCAAAGAGAACAGGGATCAACATCCCCAAAGTTTCCATGCCCTGTCTAATCGGAATGCCTCCTCTTGACACTAATTCAGCTTCTAAATGCCCTGAGGAACCCCTCTGAAGAGGACCTGAACACCCTCTTCGGTTTTCTTTGTCACCCAAAATAACCTATGCCATTGCAAATCACTTAGGGAAGAAAGACTGTCTCATACTCTGCTCTTCTTGTCACCCACAGGGCTTACCTGGATCGCCTGGACCAAAGGTGAGAGCAATGAAACAGTCTGATGGCCTGTGGTTGATAAGGGAAGACTGGAAGGAGGATGAGGGAGAGAGAAAGACACACAAAGAGAGAAAGAGATGGAGATGAAAGACAGCAGAGACAGGGGAGGGAAAGAGAGAAATGAGAGACAGAAAAAAGGGAGGGAGGGAGAAGTAAGAAGGGAAGGGAGAGAGAGAGAGAGAGAGAGAGAGAGAGAGAGAGAGAGAGAGAGAGAGAGAGGAAGAAGGAGGAGCAGGAGGAGGAGGAAGAAGGGAGGGAGGGAGGGAAGGAAGGAGAGAGGGAAGAAAGCGAGAGAAGAGAGAGAGCTGGGGTTGGTGATATGAGGCTCTGAGACTCATGGCAATGTTTCATCTGGCCAGGGCCCAGTCTGGCTAACATGAAAACCATCTAGGAAATCAATCAATTCCCTGGTATTCATTCAGCAACTGCTAATTACCTAGCCCCATACTAGGTGCATGGGAAATACAAAAGGAGTATATATAATCAGTGATGCCTATATAATCAGAGAAACTGAGTAAATCAGAGAATGTTATAGCTGGGACCACCAAGATTGTCTAGTTCAATCTTTTCATTTGACAGAAAAGGAAATTGTTGTAAGAGCAGGAATCCTCTCTACATCATTCCTGACACCTGGTCATCCGGCCTTTGCCTGAAGACCTCCACTGACTGAGAACTCACTGCTCATCCTGAGAGAACAGTGATGGACGTCCCCAAGAGCCCTGCAGCCAAGGGGTGCCATGCTTGAGCCTAGGTCTCCTGGCTCCCAGCTCAGTGCTTTTTTCCTTTACCACACTTTGGTAAGACGAAAAGATTAGAGCACATGAAACAAGTAAATTACAACATACGTCAGAGTTGAAAGAGCCTGTGGAATAATGAAAGATTGTTAGACTTAGGACCAATCCTAGAACAAGCTAGAACTAGGCTATGGCCACTGGGGCTTTGCCTCAGGTACAGAATTCTACTAGTACTAGTCCTGCCATATATAAACAACACAGCTTAGCACCTACTTAGCAAGAATAATGTGAATCCCTTCCCCATCCCTGGGCAATAGCTGTCTCTAGCAGTAGCTTCACCACTCCTTCCTGCCCCCTCCTTCCCACTGCCACCAGCTCCATCTGGGTGTTTGCTTTATGCCATTTGCCCTAAGGGTGATTTGTGATATTTGCCCTGAAAGCCTTAGTTATAGCTTTGCCACAGAGACCCTCTAGTTCATCAGCCTCAATTTAAAAATGAGGTAACTGAGCCCCAGAGGAGTGGAATGGTTTGCTCAATTGCATAGGCTAGCAAGCTGAAGAACCAGCGTATGGACTCAGGTCTTCTGATAGCAAATGCAAGCTCTCTGTCCCCTGTACTCTGGAGTCTTAAAGCTGAATCATAAGGATCATTAGACATCATCTCATCCAACATGAGAGAATGGAGGCCTAGAAAGCCTAAGTGATTTGCCCAGGCTCCCACAGCTAATCTAGGTCAGAGGCAGAACTTTAGAATCTGGATCTCGACTCCTGATCCAGTTGGTTTTCTGCTATACCTCAGCCTAGAATAAAAAAATGTCATGTCCAGAACCCAAAGGAGGGAATCCAAATGATAAAGAACAGTAAAAGAGAAGGAGTTGGGTAGACTTGTAATGGTGGTGTATGGAATTTGAGCAGGGCTTGAAGGACAGATATAATTTGGAGAGGTTGGGAAGCTGCCACTAGTGATGGGACTAGCAAGAGGGTAGTGGGTTCAAGCAATAGTGAGGAGACCAGTCTAGCTTCACCTCCAGTCCCTAACCTTTAGTTTCCATATTTGTAAAATGACTAATCCAAATGGGTACAAGTAGAAACAGAAGGGAAGGATCTCACTTGTTGAGGAAGACTATGATGGGGCTCCCCCATTGGCTTGACGTGGGGAGCCATTGTCTTAATGGTGATGAGTCAACAGTGTGACGTGGCAGGTCCTTAGGATGGTTTAAACGATCTTAGGCTTCAGAGTATCCAGAATGAGAGAGGCAATCATCCCTGTGTCCTCCATCCTTGTCAGCAGAAGCCATATGAAATATTCTCTTGAGTTCTAGATATCACATTTTAGGTATCCATTGGACAAGATGGCCCTGAAGTCCCTTCCAGCTTGGGTATTTTGTGAGGAAGCACACTGCTGAGAAGAAAGACATACAGAAGGGGTTGACTGGGGTGGAAAGAGAACTGGAAAGCATACCAAAGGAAATGGAGATGTTTAGCTTACAGAAAAAAATACTTAAGTGGGAGAAGGAGTAGGGGGAGAGGAGAAAGATAACACGTGAAAGAGGGATTAAACTTGTTTTGCTTGGCCCAAGGGCAGAGCTAAGAGCAATAGGTGAACAGATGCAGGGAAGCAGATTTCAGCTCAATATGAGGGGAAACTTCCCAATAATTCAAGCTCTTCCCAAGGAGATGAGGCTTTCTCAGGAGCTGTGAGTGCCTGGGCACTGGAGCTCCTCCAGAAAGGTCTGAGTGACCCACCCGGCATGGATGTTGACAAGTTCACACACAGATTAGACCACATGCATCCTGAAGTCCATGGGGCCAAGAGCTGGGTGAGAAAAACAAATGATTGTCTCTGGCAGGCAGTCATCAGAGTCTCCAGCCTAGGGCCAGATCACCAAGTAAATGGCTTTTCTCTTAGCTCATGAGCATCGTCATCCTAATGGTCTTTTCTTTGTCTTGGCAGGGAGACCCCGGAATTCAGGGATATCATGGACGAAAGGTCAGAGGGAAGGACATGGGGGGCAAGTAGTGATGGGAGGAATGGGTGGGTGGGGGGAGCAAAGGGGACACAGCCAAAACAAATGTTTCCTAAATGTCCTGAGTGTTGACTGCTCAAGACTCAGAAACTGGCACCGCGAATGATGTTTAACCAGCTGATCAGAAATATTCAGAGATTTAAACTCTCAGATCTTCCCAGCACTACCCCCCACCCCCCACCAATGTCTCCCCTCACTTTTCATATGCTGGAAAGAGCCTGGACTGGGAGTCAGCAGACCTGGCTTCTATTTCTTTCTCTATGTCTCACTTGCTATGTGCCCTCTCTGGGACTCAGTTTACTCATCTGTAAAATGAGACTGGACCAGGTGTTATCTGATCGCTCTTCCAGCTCGGACATTCTGTGCCTATGGATGTATCATGCCCAGATGGTGCCTGGGCCTTTGATGGAGGCAGTAATCTCCTCTACAATTTGAGAGGGTTGTAGTGCAGTGGAAAGAGTGATGGATGAACCTGGAGTCAAGAGATCCGCGTGCAAATTTAGGCTCTGACGCTTGATGGCTTTGTGAATGAGGAATAGTGCCATGAAAAACTCCTGAGCCTTATCTGAGACACAAGGATGATAACAATCTAACTGCTGGGAGGAAAGCTCTCTGCAAATGCAGGAGATGAGGCCTCAGGGTACCCTGGGACAAGGCCTAGATTTGAAGTCAGATCACCTTTTTGTCACAGGATTACCAAACTTTCCTTTTTTAAGAGGATTACTAGTAGTGCTAATAACTAGGTTTAGTCGTGCTTTCAAGGTTTTCATTGCTTTACAAATAATACTTCATTTGATCCTCACCACAACCCTGGAATTTATTTCACCTCTGCCTGCCTCAGTTACCTCAACTGTAAAATGGGGTTAACAACAGCACCTACCTCTCGAAGTTGTGAAGATCAAACGAGATAATATTTATAAAGTGCTTTGCAAACCTAAACGTGCTATAAACATGTTAGTTATAATTTTGACAATCCCTTTGTACTCTGCCCTCATCAAACGTCACCTGCTGTATTATGTATTATATTAGGCCTCTGGTTTAAGTAGGACAATGATAAGCTGGGAAGTGTCCAGAGAAGAGCAGCTAGGATGGGGAAGGTCCGAGTCAGGATTGGCTGAAGGACTCAGGGGTGGCTAGCCCGAAGATAAGACTCCACAAGGACAAGTGTTGGGAGCACTGTTATATGGAAGAGGGATCGGCCTTGTTCAGATGGGCCCAGAAGGGCTGATGACCAGGAACTATGGGTGGAAATTGTAATAAGAGCAACTGAGGTTGGATGTCAGGAAATAACTTCCGCTGGTTAGAACTGTCCCAAAGTGGACCAGGCTGCATTGAGAGAGGATGAACTCTCCGTCCTTGGAGGACTTTGCTCTGAAGCTGGAGAACCGCTTGTCAGTGTATTAGAGTGGGGATTCCTTTGGCATATGGGTTGGCCTAGAAGGGCTCTGGGATCCCTTCCCACTCTCAAATTCTGTGCTTCTAAGGGACATTTCAAATCCCTTCCCTCTCTGAATCTGAGATTCTCTGAAACGTGTTACTCTTCTTAACTTTGTCCGTTCTTGATGGCCTTGATAGGGAATGACCCTGCCCTTCAGGCACACCCTGGGGACCCTCCGAGTAGGAACCTTTGGGGAGTCACCTTTAAGTGGGAACCTTGAAGAAAGGAGGCAGGAAGTAGAAGGGACACGGAGGAAAAGGACAAGGAAAGAATGTGAGGGGGGATGGCAGAGAGAGCCAGAGACTTGCATTCTTTGCACCCCATAATGGGGCAGGTTTCTGTCACTGCAGTGTGTTATAGAAAGCAGGCAGTGAATTGGTGAGGCCTGAGAGATCTTCAGTTAGTTCTGCATAAACTGAGAAGTTTGTGTTATGTCAGGAAGTGAAAATTATAGCCCCCGTGGACCCCTACATCCATTCATGCAAGCTCACAAAATTTACTACCTCCCCTTTCTGCAAACTGTCGGTTTTCCCATCAGCAAAATCTGGCCCTTTGCAGAGGAAACAGGACTGTGGGGCTGGGAGGCACGCGTACCCGCCGTCAAAATCACCACTTCCTGCTAATGGCGGCTGGGAAGCTGGCTCACCCACACAGCAGCTTGTAGGCATCTGAGGCCTCATCAGAGCATGTACCCCCTGGTGTGGCCCAAAATCTAGTGATGGGGGAAGCACATAATCCCATAAATGGAGAGTTCTTGTTCTCTCAACTGCTAGGACCAGTCTGAGTAACCTAGTATGGTTTTTGAGTGTTTCAAAAGCTGTTACATTAGAAGGTGAATTAAGCTTTTTCTGCCTGGCCCCAGAAGGCAGAACCAGCAATGCTGACTCTGTAAAGAAGTAGATTTAAGGTAAAGACGAGGAGAAGCTTCCAAACGATGAGCACTGTCAGAACACTGTGCTTCTTGGAGAGGTAGTGAGTTCTTTCCTACTAGGAGTCTGCAAGCAGAGGCTAAAGTGCCATTTGTTGGAATTGTCATAGAAGGAACTCCCTTTCAGGTAGGGACCATACCAGATGGTGCTTGAGCTCCTCTCTGGAATTCTGTGGCTTTGGGTGAGGGTTCACTTCAGTTCAGAGAAAGGCATAGACCAGACATGAACTTGTATGGACCAAATATGTGATCTTATGGTCCGGTGTGGTGGTTCACAGCTTTGGGAGATGCCATGGAGTTGGGCCTGCCTTATAACATTTCCTATTCCTAGAGCACTTTAAGGTTCACTTTCACAATAATCCAATAATTATTATACCCATCTCACAGCTCTGAGGCTCAAAGAGATCACAAGATAGCAGGATTTGGAGCTGGGACTTTAGGGAATGTCTTGTCCGGCCCTTTTATTTTGGGCAGAGGGTGCATATGGTAATTAACAGAGAAGGTACTGGACTTGGCAGCAAGAAATACTACAGCTTGACCACACGTTTGTTACAAAGAGTGGGGGACAGGGGGAGGAAATGGAAGCAAGAGAAAATAAATGCTAGTTAGTTGTAAAAAATACATTTTTAAGGAGAAGCCAGGTGGTGCAGTGGATAGAGCACTAGCCCTGGATTCAGGAGGACCTGAGTTCAAATCTGACCTCAGACACATAACACTTACTAGCTGTATGACCCTAGGCAAGTCACTTAACCCCATTGCCTAACCCCTCCCCCCCAAAAAAACCCCATTTTTTAAAAAGAAGACCTGGGTTCAAATCCTACCCCTAACACCCACTGGCTGCCTGACCCTAGGCAAGTAGTTTAACCAATATGAGTCTCAAGGCCACTATCTATAGAATAGGAAAGATGGGAGGGATTGTTGTATTCTTAGCGTTGATCTGGTGCACATACAAAAGCTTAAATTAGTATTGATAAGTCAAAATAAATTAATTTTAAAAAATTATTTAAAGCCTAAATTAGGGCAGTCATCTAATAACACTTACAAGGAGATCCCAGGCCAAGGTACCTTGGAGTCAGTGGCTCCAGAAAAATGTGACTCCCCAAGAGAAGTCCCCAAGGGGAGCCTCCATTGATCCAAAGAAAGCAGACAGGTTGAAGAAGATGGGACTGAGAAACATGGGGACTAAAGACCTCATGCCTACCAGCATCCCCTTGCCTAGAAGAGGGAGGCTGTAGAGGAAGTGGCCAGAAGTTCAAGAAGTAGCCAGGGGAAGGAGGCTTGAAGGGGATTTATAGCTGGGACCAAGGATCTAGAGCATGAGGGAGCTTCAGAGAACATTGAATCCAACTTGGATCTTGCAGATGAGGAGACCTGGCCCCCTTGAGGGGAAAGGACTTGTCCAAGGCCCTACGTCAGGAGCACAGCCAGGATGCCCACTGGTACTCCAACTCCTCATCTCGTATTCTTTCTCACTGTGGTGCACTACCTTCCCAAATTCCTGCAAGATTTAAGAGCTCTGATGGTTCTGATTTGGCCCCGGAGTTCTGATGGAAGATAACCCAGACCAAGGCCCTTGGGAGAAGAGCGTGGAGTATTGGAAAGAGCCCAAGAACCAAAGTCAGGAGAAATGTGTTCAGGTCTCAGCTCTGATACATACAGGCCTGAAATCTCATTTGGGCCTCAGTTTCTTAATCTGTGAAATAAGCTGGAGAAAAAAATAGCAAATCCCTGTAGTAGTATCTTTGCCAAGAAACCCCCAAATGAGGTTATGAAGTCAAACACAACTGAAACAACTGAACAACAACAACAAGAAAATAGCAGTTGGGGCTAAGGAGTGACATTGTCAGACAGTCTTTAGGCAAACCCCATTGGAAGGGGTGTGGAGGACAGATTGCAGAGGGGAGACTCTGGAAGCAGGGAAACTGGCTAGAAAGCTATGACACTGGCCCAGAGGAGAGGGAATGAAGACCCAGCCTGGGATGGAAGCCTGTGAGTGTAGAGAAGAGAAATGGGCTTAGATGAGAGGAGAAAGGAGATCTAGCTACTGACCCATTATAGAGAGTGAATGACAGGGTTTGTTGAATTGAATGGAACTGAACATGGTAGAGCTGGATTGTCCAAGTCCTTGCTTTATCCTTTCCCTGACATGCATAGTGTTGCCAACATGGACTGGTCCATGACCTGGTCCATGTGGGTCCTGTGCCCTCTTACCCTGCACTACTCTGCTCTGCATCCTTCTTTTCTTCCTCTTCCTCTGTGGCCTCTGTCCAGGACCAGGAAAGCAAGAGGGGCTGCCATCATGAAGGCAGATACCTTCAAAAAGAGCCATGAGAATTTCTTTCTTAGGAGGAAAAAGGGTGAGAGGGTCAGGAAAAGTGAGAAGAGAAGCCAGGCACTAGTAATAGCCATTTTCTTGGTGTTGGGAAGGCTATCTCATGTAACTATGGGGGTTACAAGGGGTCTGTGGAATAGCCAACCACTTGGGTTTTGATTCACCAGAGGTAGTAGCTTGTCCCAGTAACTTGACCAAGAATCAAAAACTGTTAGAGGTGGCCAACCCTCTGATTGGACAAAGAGGGAAACTGAGGTCACACAGC